TGCTCATCCTAGCAAGCAGTTGAGCTGCTTTAGCATATCGTTCTGCTGTTCAGTCTATTTGTATAGTAGCCTTTTATTATATAGGATTAGCTACAATCACTACACTATATTTTATTTACATCCTCAGGACTTCTTACTATTAGACCACCTTCATCCACTACACCTGTTCCTTCCACCAACAATTCTAGCAACCACCAACCTTTCTATAAGTTTGGTTTATTTTTACTTTCTCATGTAAATAAGATTAAAGATGAAATGTTGATCTACTTAGCTGGGCAATCTCTGTACCGTATATCAGTGGTAGCACGAATGTATTCATTGAACATCCGTTAGTGTTCAGTGCGTGCCTAGAATGTACCAGAAGCTGCTATTTACTGGCACTGTAAAAAGAACCAAGACATGGGCTCTGTCCTTGAGCTTTCTTACAATAGAGTGGGAGACGGTAGTATAAACAATTGCATCCAAACAAGACAAGTCTTATTCGGAAGTCCATTCAAAGTGCAGCGAGGCCTGGGAGAATAACGTGTGCTTTTGGAGGCAGTCAGGAGTATGGATTCACAGCGGAGACAGCGTCTGAGCTGAGACGTTTGCCAGGCAGCAGAGCCAGGGACTGAGCCATGGGGAAGGCATTCTAGGAGCAGGCTGAGGAAAGCACGTCATTGGAATTTGGGGCCTTATTATCAGTAACACATGGCTTATGACCCACCTAGCAACTCACAGAGACACATCAGCTTGAGGCATCCTGTGGTAAGCAGGCTTTAAGCACAGCAGGGATCCGTTCCGCTTGAAGGGGTGGGGGAGAAAGAGGGAAATAGGGAGGAGGGAGGAAGGTGGGGAAAAGAAGAGGGGCGGGGAGAGGGAGAGGGAAAGGGGAAGAGAGAGAGAGATCACTTTGATGGTCTGTATGGTGGGGACCCCATGGGGAAGCTGCCTCAGTGATTGGGCAAAATGGCAAGGACCAGATCTGGAACAGAGGTGGGACTCAGCATGTGAGCAGTGATGAACGGGCAGAGGCAGCAGGACCTGGTGACTGACCAGGCCACACACATGACACCCTCCGTGCTATAAGCCACAAATCTGGACTGACACAAATTTCCAATTAGTGGTCATAGCCACTGACATCCCCCTCAAACAGAGATTAGGTTGAGCCTTTTGCTGAAATTAATTTGAAGGCAGATCGGTGAATTCAGCCCAACCTTAGGATATTTTGATGGCATTATTTGGAATATTTTCAAAGTAGATTGTCCTTTGGGGGGGGGGGGATATTTATCTGTGTTAATCTATTAAATTATATCTAACCCTAGAGAGGTCATTCTAACACTTCCAACAGAAAATGAACTGAGGCTCACTCATGGTTCTTCCTCAGCATTTCCCTTTTTTTTTTTTTCCTTTCAAACAACTATTAAATGTCGCCTTCATGCTTTACATTTTTACTGTGGCTTTGGAGCAAGCAGCTATATAGTGAATAAGGGGATTGTCATAGTCAGCGTGAGGCTGATGCCAGATCTATTTTCCTGGTAGCCTACATTTTCTATTTGATAGTATATCAACATTTTTCTATACTTAAGTCCATGTAAACACCTAAATCTGTTTTCTTAGCTTTTTAGAACTTCGAATAGGAAATTTGCTCCAACCACTTTTACCTACTATTGTCCCCTGCATGCTGCTGATGAGGCCTCTTGTTTGTGCCCCAGCAAAGTCCCTTTTCCTCTCAATTGTTCCCTCTTAGAAATCCATGAACTTCTTCTCCTTCAGAATGTGGCTCAAAACTAAACTTCTCTGAGAAACTGAATCACTGTTCCAATTGCTCCTATGTTTCTTGACCAAGTTTAAAGAACTTACTAAATTTGCATACATGTTTCCATTGGTCTTCTGAAACATTTTCATGTATATTTTTGGGGGGCAATTTCAAACAAAATCTTCCTTAACCTAGTTTCAGTGTTTAATAGGTGGGTGACCTTAACAGATGAGTAGAAAGTGGAAACACATTTTTTGTCTGTCTGTTCTAATTTCATGTTTACCTTTAAAATTTTAGAATTTTTTTTCTGGAATCCAAAATACATGTGCCATCAGGACATCATCCTTATGATGTTAAATATAAATTCTCAGTACAGTTCTTTAAAAAAATTGTTTTTAATTTTTAAAAAATATTTTATATGCCCAGAAACGCAGAGGATGTAACAAACCAGGATTTTAAAAGACAAATATTCTGTTATTTATATTTTAGATACTTTATTTTTGTTGGAAAGAAATAAAATATTACAGATATAGTTATCCTTTATGTAAAATATCCTTTTTATACCCATCTTTCACACTGTTTTTCTTCTTTTCTTCCTAAAAGCAACCAAATGCCTGAAATTGTCACTTTTCCTATACTTTTACTATGTGTATCTCTCCCTAATCAATATATTTATTAGTATTTGTGTTTTAAAATTTACCTGAAAGGTATCTTCACACATCTAGAGTTTGTTATTTTCCCAATCTATATTTATTGTAATTATTGTCACATTTGGGATTATTTATAGCATTTTAGAATTTTTTATTTACCAACATTTTCAATGCTTTTTTTCTTTCTGGTCATTTTATGAATAATCATTTCTTTATCTCCTTTTTGTTTCCACACTGATTTGGACAATAAACATTAGTTATCATCCTAATGTGATTACCACTTTAAATTAAAAAATACACATTATTTTTAAAAATTCTAAGTCTCCATCTCAATCTTTTGATATTTATCCAAACATGTTTTCCCTATGCAAATACAAATACCTATTTTTCCCCTTTTCCTTCTTTAAAAAATGGTTATACTATACACACTCTTCTACAGCTTACTTTTCTCAAATATATCTTCTGAACATCTCTCTCTGTCAGTAATGTGGTTCCATCCACATTTTTAATGCCTACATAGCAATGATGATATCTAACATTGCAGTGTGATTACTGTGTGCCAAGAGCTTATCTCATCTATTATTTACAAGAACCACATGTGGGGGAAAGTCCCATTTTGGAGATGAGGAACTTGAGGCTTAGAGAGGTGTGGTAGGTTAAAAAAAAAAAAAAAGGATAGAATTTCTATTGGAAAATTTCCTAGAAGTGTAGTTATTTGGTCAAAGGATAATCACATTAAACATTTTTATAAATACTGCTAAATTGTCTTGTAAAATGTTCCCCATGAAGCTTTTAGAAAGAATTAATTGCAGGAAAAAAATGAACAAAATGTGTGGAGGGGTCTGGCTCATTGGTGACCGTTTCATCAAAGCAAAGAACTGCAGTGACCACGTAACTGAAAGTGCCGTTCTCTCTCATTTCAACGGGAGAAACTGTTCCAGAAGCGTCCCTCTGGTTCTGTCTTCTCGATGGCTTTGTGGGTAAGTTCAGTTTGTTCTTTTACTTCTGGGCCTTGCTTCTTATCCGTTGAGGCAATAAAGACTGACAAAAATAAATAGCCTTTTTAGTATCCCTTGTACTACACATGCATTCTAAAATGCTCTATTCCTTCAGCTGAAGCTAAAGTTTCCCAGGTGCACAATTAGATACTTTAAAATACTAATAGCATTTCATTAATTTTGAATGATAGGCTTTCCAGCAGGGCCCTGGAACCAACTCTTGGCAGAAATCCATGGTTTTAAAAAAAAATTAGCATAGGCTCAATTGCACGGGCTCTGGGACTACCTGGCCTTTATGGGTGTCACCGAAGCAGGCCCATCAGGATTTAATGTCCAATTCCCCCTGTGACTCTACATCGGAACAAACCTCTTCACATTAAGGGATCCCAGGCTCTGAAAGACAAGGAGTCTTTCTTGCTGGAAATAACTTTCACTTCTTTGGGCATCTTAACTCTATCTTTTATCTAGAAAAGTGGTCTCTTTCACTCCTGGCATGCACCAATGCTTTTGCTGAGCTTGTAGATCTGATAGTATACTTTCTTTTTCCCCAGGCTCGTTCTTTTGTCTCCTCTTACTCTACTGCTTTGGAGATTTTGGTTTGCTCCTGAGGCTGTGTTTTTCTATCTTTAGAGCTGTGAGACCTTTTCTTTCAATTGTTATACTTGGTTTTCCTCGCTCTTGTGCTCCACTGCTACGTCCTGGGGTGTTGTAATAAACATTCTCTTAGCGAGAAATGGAGAGATGTCTAACTAATGATGTTTATTTGTTTATTTGCTTACTTATTTATTTTTGCTTCATTTTACCTAGGAAATCAGAATGGAAAATTTGAATTCTGATCAATTTTAGGGTAGTATAATGAAAAATAACACATTCTACTTGTTGAATATTTATGATGTTCCTGACTGGTTTTTTTTTTAATTTATTTTAAATAAATGGTCTAACTTAAAGTTCTCAGGACCATTCTGTGAGTTAGGTGCTATTTTTATCCCTACTCCACTGATGAGGAGATCAAGGCTTTAAGAAATTAGACAATCCTCTCAAGGCTATGTGGTAGGAAATGATAAACGGAGAATCAAATACAGGCTTGTTTGACCAGTCTGTACTCTTAACCACTACACCAGAATGTTCTTTGGCATTTTAAATCATTGGTAAGCAATACTTCCAAGAATATTTTTAAACAGAAAAAAAATTAAACCCTGAGCTAGTTAGTTGTGGTGAAGTAGAAAGAACACTGGATAAGAGTCAAAAGAGGGAGCCCTTGGTGTGTCCTTAGCCATCTGAGCAAGTCCCCAAGTCCCCGGGGCAAGTTGGTTCACCGGCCCCGCCCGTGGCCTTTGATTTTCCCATCTGTAAAAGTGCCAATCTTCTAGCATCCTTAAAAAAAAACTTGATTTCCTCTTCTTTAATTTTTCCTATACTAAAATAGATGAAATCTGCCACTCCCATATCATTTGTGACAGTTAAGGCTGGTATCAGATGAGTCAGTTGGCACGGGGCTACTTGTCCTGAAAGAAAAAGGAAAGAGCCACGATGAAAATGCCAGCCCCCTGGCAGAAAGCAAGCTAAGCATAATGACTCAAGTTCAAAGCCTAGAAAATCCTGGCGGAAATGGAGTGGATATATCCTTCTGCCTCTGACTTTCTCTGTGTATATTCATCATTGACCATAGAAAAGTGGATAAATGTGTGGCTCAGCATTTAATCATCATCTCAAACTTGCTCAACCCGCTGTGGAGTAATAATGCTACTGAACTGTCTTCGCCCAGTCATGAATGAGACCCAGCTATTGAGAAGACTTGTTAACTTTCTCAAGCATGTATCTTCATTCTATCACACAGCTTCTTAAAGATTCCCATGTGTTATGGGCTGAATTGCGTCCTCCCAAAATTTGTATATTAAAAAGTCCTAACCCCTAGTACTGCAGGATATGACTGTATTTGGAGATAGGGCCTTTAAAAAGACAATTACGGTAAAATGAGGTCATATTGGTGGGCCCTAATTTAGTCTGACTAGTGTCCTTATTAGAAAAGAAGATTAGCACTCACCAATGTGGCCCAGTTGTTGGAGCACTGTCCCATACACCAAAAAGTGGTGGGTTTGATTCCAGATCAGGGCACATGCCCAGATTTCCGGTTCAGTCCCCAGTCAAGGCGTACACAAGAGGCAAACAATTGATGTTTCTCTCTCTCTCTCTCTCTCTCTCTCTCTCTCTCTCTCTCTCCCCGTTCCTCTCTCTAAGATCAATTGATCAATTGGAAAAAAAGAGAAGATTAGGGCACAGAAACACAGATGGAGGGACACCATGTGAGGACACAAGAAGAAGGTGGCCATTAGCAAGCCAAGGAGAGAGGCCTCAGAAGAAAACCAACCTTTTAACACCTTGATCTTGGACTACTAGCCTCCTGAACTATGAGAAAATAAATTTCTGTGCTTAAGGTACCCAATCTGTGGTAGTTTGTTCTAGCAGCCCTAGCAAATTACTCTACCATGTTTTAAATCCAGGGTTGTTTTATTGATTGATTGATTTCAGAGAGAAAGGGAGAGAGAAAGAGAGATAGAAACATCAATGATTGGCTGCCTCCTGCATGTCCCCTACTGGGGGGGTGGGGCAGGGGGGGGGGATGGAGCCTGCAAAGATTGGCTGCCTCCTGCATGTCCCCTACTTGGGGGCGGGGCAGGGGTGGGGGGTTGGAGCCTGCAAACTGAGCATGTGCCCTTGGCTGGAATCGAACCTGGGACACTTTAGTCCACAGTCCGACACTCTATCCACTGAGCCAAACTGGCTAGGGCTCCAGGGTTGTTTTAAGGTTCTCCTTTACTTCCCCAAAGATGTTCATCTTCAGTTTTTTCTTCCCCCTTTGTTTGAGCTAGATATTCTTGCCCTAATAAGTTATACTCAGGTATCAAGTTTCATTCACTTACTGGGGTAAAGTGATTTTCTTATTAGTGTTTGTAAGGTACCCACTGTTAGCTGAATCTTAACTGGTACTTGAATGTAGCTTACATTTCTATACCTACGTAATAATTTAATTTTATAACTAATAAAATAAATGAACTATATGTAGTTGATTTCTCACCCCTGACGCCCAACCCAAGGATTTTTCTCCTATGTCTTACTTCCCATCTTTATAAAATGGTAGAAACAGCAGTAGCCCCTCAGGCATAGGTTCTCAAGCTAGGAACTTAGGAAGTCATTCTTGATATTTTATTTTCCTTGCCAACATCCAACTCATTACTCACTTCTGTTCATTCTTCCTTTAAAACATCTAATATTAAAGGACATGGAATATTAAAAACTATAATATTAAATTTTAATTGGAAATATTTACATGGACTCATGAATAAAAATAGATACAGGTGTGTATCATCTATCTATCTATCTATCTATCTATCTATCTACCTATCTATCTATCTGTCCTTCCTAGCTCTGTCTACTGAAAGAACATAGTAGCAATAAGCACACCTTGAAGCCAATTTTGGATTTCACTTATCATTACTTACTAAAAATAACAATGATCTTTGGAGAAATAGCTGACTCTAGTTGTTGGGAAGGAAAACTACGAGGTGAGTTTAGGATATCTTGTTGTGCCAGAAATCAAGGAAGTGTTTGGTGATTTATGGGGACATGTTAGAAGTAACCAGGAACTACTTTGAAAAGACTCCCATTAGACAAATTTGGACAATTTGAAGATGACTATAATTATTGTAAACATTGAATACATAAAGATCTGTGAGTCCATAGTGATATCCCAAAAAGTGAAGAGAAGGATAAAAAGTTCATTTGCTTCATTGGAGGTGACTATTCAATAAATCCTTACTCTCAAATTGGTAGTAAAAAGAAATAACTAAACATTTACCTAACCTTTATAGGAGGAACTATATATCATCCTAGTTGATGAGGGAAAATTCATCTTTGGAAAAGAATGCCAAAGAAGGAGTGGTAGGATTTAACAGTCACTATTTTGTAACCCCCAATGAAATGATTGATTAAGGCAAGGATTATCAATGGTACAAGAGTATTACACAACTGGACATTCACACAGTGACAAAGCATCACCATGCAGGTTATTACTAATTGCAAAGGTCACAAAGGAGCAATCTGGCAGTTACCACTCTTTTCAAAGTAGTTCCTGGTTACTTCTAACATGTCCCCATAAATCACCAAACACTTCCTTGATTTCTGGCACAACAAGATATCCTAAACTCACCTCGTAGTTTTCTTTCCCAACATCTAGAGTCAGCTATTTCTCCAAAGATCATTGTTATTTTTAGTAAGTAATGATAAGTGAAATCCAGTGAAAATATGAGGTTCTTGCATTGTGTTCCTTCTGATGTGATGCAGATAAAATTTCCAGTGTTGTTTAGGAGCTATTCTTGCTAAAAAAGAAAAAACAAAACAAAACAAACAAAAAAACTCCACAAATAAACAAAAAAACAACAAACAAAACAACAAAAAAACTTAACCTGGAACTAATTAAGTCTTTAGAACTAACTTCAAAAATACATGAATTACAGGGACTCAAATAAAAATCAACTTATAAGAAAACCTACAGAGGAATCCCAGATGTGAAGTATTCTTTTGGGTGTTTCCAAAGGTCATTATCAGCAACAGAAAAAGAGTAAGGGAATTGTTTTAGTTTAAAAGGGACTGCAGAGATAGAACAACCAAATGCAATATATGAACCTTGATTGGGCCTTGGCTTGATAAAAACATCTAAAAAAATCTTTGGGGGATAAATAATTTAAATATGAGTTTGTATATTAAATGCTATGATATTATTTAATATTAAGAAACTAATATTAGTTTTCTTAGGTGTGATAAGACATTGTGGTGATCTAGAAGAAAACTCTTATTTTTATGAGATGGGTATTTAGGTGTGAATAGTCATGCATTCTACCTTTGGAACACACACATACACATACACCTTTTAATAATGTAATCACGGAATGTCATTCCTATTTGAAATCTCCCAGTGCTTTTCACTGTATTTAGAAATAAATCCAAGCTCTTTGACATAGCTTTGTAAGGAGCTTTGTAATGTCTAAGCTGGTCTCTCTGACATCATCTTATGTCATTCATTTCCTGAATTATTACAATCTTACCAAAGGTCCGGTGCACAAAAATTCATGCACTCGGGAGGTCCCTCAGCCTGGGCTGTGCCCTCTCGCAGGCAGTCTAGGAGCCCTCAGGTGATGTCTAACTGACAGCTTAGGCATGGGGAACAGGCCTAAGCCACAGTCTGGCTTCCCTTTGGGGGAGGCGAATGGCGGCAGGCTGATGGGGGCGATGGTGCTGGCTGGCGAGCAGCCGGCCCGTCCCTCGATCACCCCCCTGCCACTGCTGGTTACCACCACCTCCCCCTCACCCCCCGCCTCAATCACCATCCCCTCCCTCTGCCTGCTGGCACCCACCTTGGCTGGCCTGGTGCTGCCCACTCGCCAGCCTGCTCCCCGCCGACCGGTCGTTCCACTGTTCAGTCAATTTGCATACTAGGCTTATATTATATAGGATACCTTCGCTGTTCCCCCTGCTTGGACTTTCTTTTCCCACGTCTTCATGTTGTTCAACTCAGATGTCACCTTCTCAGAGGTTTTTATTTATTTTCCCATCCAATGTTTTCCTCCCATTAGCTTCAATTCTTCTTTATTATCTTCAGATCACTTACCATTTCTGATATTTCACTTATCAGTAACTGATATTAACTTATTTGTTTATTGGGAGCTCCATGAGAGCAGGCATCTTGTCTACCGTGTATTCCTAGCATACAGGACAGAATCTGGTACTTTTCATTTGCTCAGTATATATTTGTCAAATTGATGAATGAGCTTTACAGATAGACTAAAGAACACCTATAGAGTCTAGTAGATGTCAACTTTTTCAAAGCAGAGGACTCTTATCAAACATAACATTTATTTTTAACTTATTACTTTATGTATTTGTTTACTTCTTTTTCCTTATTTCTTGACAATTATTAGGATTCTATACACATAAAAATGTCCTTAGCAAATACTTAGCTACTTAATGAGTCCTTGGTCAACAAGATCTATCACCAGGGGGAAATCAATCCTCTGACCATTGGCTGTAGACAGTGAGGAAATCCTGACTGGAGAAGACGTAGACCCGACTCCAGGGGAACAAGAGCAGATGAGAAGCACTGACTATTCTGGCAGCACAGCTCCTCTGGGGCTTCCATACAGCTCTGCAGAGAGAAACAGTAGGAAGCAGGAGAGGTGGGCCCTCATCTGGAGCACCCAGAGGAGAAGCAGCAAGACTCTTTAATACTGGCCTGGAGCAGCCCTGAGCCAGTGGCTACAGCACTGCAGAAAGATGGCAGTGGTGGTAGTAATGGTGGTGCCACAAGAACAACATCTCTAGGAGGTACTGACATGTGAAGCAGCCTCCCACCATGCTCAAGCTATAGGGACTTAAGAAGGAGGCAGTGATTGCAGTAGCAAGCAAGTGGCAAGAAGAGATATTTGACCGCACATACTCTTGCGGGAAGCCACCACTTGCTGATACTGTCAGGAGAGTGTACCAAGGAATGCAGAAGGCCGATGGACCTTGGGCGTTAGCAGGGCTGATGCTGAGCACCTTGTCTGTTGAGATAGCAGTGGCTGAAGGCAATTCCCCTAACCTGATAATCCTTTTATTATTTACCAAACTTTACCTTTGATATGCCTGTATGCATTGCTAAAGGGCAAATGTGTATTCAAGTAAATAAAAGGCAGACCAGGCCAGAAGTCATTGTGTCTCTTCAAGAAAGACCCCACCTGGCCCCCAATGTCTCCTAAATTCATATTTCTTGGATAGCATTTTCATTTGTGTGTCGGCCCCTCCTTCAGATCCCGAACTCCGCCACGAAGGTCGCAACACACTCTCCCAGGTGATATGAAGGGATTGGGGACCTGGAATTTCAGCAGTTGAGCATGTGTAATCTCAGCCCAAGTTATTGGTTTTGTTGTCATTTGGGCTTTGTTTATCTTTCAGTGTCATTTTTAAGAATTAAACACACTTACATACTTAGAGATGACAGAGATGTTAGGTTAGCAAGCAAGGACTTTATAATCTATATATATATAAAGACTCAGGAGCCATCACAACCAACCGGATGACTGAACAGAAAACCAAATAGGCTGAGTGGGGCAACAAGGCCAGCCGGGGGGTTAGTGAGGGACGACCAAATGACTGAAAAGCAGGCTGTGTGGGGCGACCAGGCCAGGGGGAGGGGGCAGTGAGGGGCAACCAGGCCAGCAGTAGGGGCAGTTGGGGGTGACCAGGCCAGTAGGGGGGGGCAGTTGTGGGTGACCAGACTGACAGAGGG